CGTTCCCTCTTCATAAGCATCTACGCATGACCCTTTCTAACAGTGCATTCAACATGTGCTGGTAGCAGATCTGACTTCCCTGATCCTAGCACTTCTCAAAGAATGAATACATAGATTCATTTCTTAGCATCACTTCTAGCAAAGTAACAGATTGTTTCACAAACAACGAGGTGTATTAATAGATGCTGGCAGCAGAGCTGCAGAAAAGCAGCTTGACATTTGAAAAAAAAAAAAACAAAACCAAAACACTACAGTAGGAGCAGAACAAGAGATTACATGCTTGCAATTCCTTTTCACAAATATTTCTCTTTTACTACCACCTCCAACCTGCCTCCAGACATAAAGGGAAGAGCAGACTCACTGTAGGAGCACTTATTTCTGTTAAAAAGCCCACATAAATACACATTTTACCTTGGAGTTGCTCAGGGCTGCGTATGAGCACAGCTCCACCACCCATTCGGTGACTACAGCCACAGGCAAAGACCCATTTGTTTTAGAAATAATTTTCACCTGTGCTGCAAGGAACATTTGTTTGCTTTTGTACATACAATACAATGAACATTTGTTCGCTTTTGTACATCTGCAGCTACAGCGACACAAAGCTGTGTGTCAAATTAATCATAAGCATTACCACTGACATCAGTAATGCCTTGATCTTTTGGCTATCAGGTGAATTTTGTGGTAGGAGAACTTGTTCCTCCTAAGTCTTCCCTTCTTTGGGTGCTCTTTGTCTGAGTAAGCATCTTTCCCAAAATACACTAAGTTTCCAAAGGAAGTCGATAGCTTTCTCCAGTCTGTTGGAGATGTCTTGCTGCTTTCCCCTGTTAAAGGAAAATCAGAGGTGTGCTTGGAAGGGGTCCAGCCTGGGGGAGGTTTTGCTCAGCCCTGAAGTGTCACTGCTACAATGTACACACCATAATTGGGAGAGGGGAAGAAAAAAAAAAAAAAGGCAAGGCAAAGCAAAGCAGCTCTTCTCAAAGACTCAAGATCCAAAACATCCTTTTTCCTGTGAACAGAAGACGCTCAAAAATCTGCCTGTGAAATTTCTCAGTTTAGCAGCCAGATGGGTTTAAGTTGACTGAAGCACACTGTCTGCTGTAGGTCAGTCTTTCTGCACAGACCATACAAAACCATGGTGCTGAGCATGATTTTACACAGCTGAAGCCAATAATGGAACCTTGACTTTGGTATCTTGGGCACTTTCTAGCCTGAAACAAAAAAGCAAACTGAATGAACAAACACAGGCTCAGAAAAGAGTGGGGAGCTGCTAGACACGCTAAAT